GTGAGTGAGCCCACCAGGGGAGAGACTATGTTAGATCTGTTGTTTGTAAATAGAGATGGGCTGGTGGGAGATGTGGTGGTTGGAGACCGCTTGGGGCACAGTCATCATGGAATTAGAGAATTCTCGAGATTTGGTGACATGAGGAGGAACATCAATAAGACTTTTACATTAGATTTCCTGAGGACAGACTCTGACCTATTTAGGAGACTTATTCAAAGAGTTCTTTGGAAGGAGGGTCAGGTGTCTCAGGAAGTATTTAAGGGGACTGCTAGGGCATGTAGGAAAAAAATTAGGGACACCAAAGCTCAGTATGAAATTAAAATGGCAAATTCTGTAGAGGATAAAAAAATGTTTCTACAAATATATTAATGATAAAAGGAAGGATAAGACCAACCTTTACTCTCTATTGGATAAGGGAGGGAACTTAGTTACTGCAAATGAAGAGAATGCAGAGGTGCTTAATGCCTTCTTTGCCTCAGTCTTTAGTGGGAAGATGGTTTGTCCTCAGGATAACTGTCCTCCTGGACTGGTAGATGGTGTTAGAGAGCAGAATGATCCCCTTGTTATCGAAGAGGAGGCAATCAGGGAACTGTTGAGATGCTTGGATGTTCATAAATCTATGGGACCAGATGGGATCCACCCCAGGGTGATGAGGGAGCTAGCAGATGAGCTTGTGAAGCCATTCTCCATCATTTACCAACAGTCCTGGCTCACTAGTGAGGTTCCAGATGACTGGAAGCTGGCCAATGTGACACCCATTTATAAGAAGGGTGGGAAGGAGGATCCTAGTAATTATAGGCCAGTTAGCCCGACCTCAGTATCAGGTAAGGTTATGGAACAGTTTATACTAAGTGCCATCATGCAGAATTTTTTTACACTCTGAGCCAGAGTCAACAGTGAGATCTAGAGAAACACACACGTAAGACACTGGTTGAAACCACAGCTATGACTTCTCATGGCTGGCTCTGCTGGTTGCCTGGCAAGTGAGGTGTCTGCCCAGGTGGCAGGTGACACAGTGCAGCTGAACAACAGGGAATGGGCAGTCTTTACCAATGTGGTCACTGCATCTCAGGTGATCTTGAAACAACTGATGGGCAAAGAAGTGATGTTAACAAAGTAGCAATTGGCTACTTTTCTGAAGTTGAGGTAGGTATGTTTTACTAGGCTGATGTAGGTATGAAAATGCCACATAGCAGAATACATGAATTTGAAACATATATCTACCTAATAAGACCTGAAAGTTTCATGTTTTCCTGCGGTTATGAACCTGCAAGCCTTTCCACACAGGCAAATATTTGTGCCCTTGATTAACCTCGGCCAATAACTCAAACAAAGCTGTGTCTGATTAAGGTCCACATCTGCAAGCTTCAGAAAATGTTTTGTAGAAAAATGTGGTTGTTGGCCAATCCTGACTGCTGCACATAAGTTACTTCTGATAGGAACAAAATGTGAGAATTTAGATTGAAATTTTCTTAGACACCAGGGCAGCACTATTTTTCTTGTTGATTTTGTAATCACTGCCTCAGCATAATTACCCGTTTCTTGTAAATGTCAAAACTGGGTGGAGGAGAGAAGAGGTTAGGTTATTTTTCAAAAGACAGGATACATCCCTTTGCCTCTAACTTCTGAAGGCTTCAGTTTACGACTCACTGTGTCCATAGTGAAATGAAGTTGTGATCACAATTCTAGACCTGGTCCAACACATACTGAAACCAATGGGAGACTTTCTGTTGACTTAAATGGAAACTGGGTCATGCCCTGAGCAGACACTACTGCACATATAACAAAACCCCTCTCCAATTTTCTTCTGCCAATTTTGGATGGTAGAAGACATGAACCTGGAAACATTAAAGACCGCTGAGGTCAGATATTGTCTACAACAAAAATTTAATACGGGAAAAACCAATAAGCTCACCTGTCTGTACTCTGCCTCTTTCTAGCCCTACCAACCCACACAAAACTGCATCCAGAGCTAGTATTTATCAAAAACGTAAAAAGGTAAGATCTTGGCAAAAGGCAAACTCTGGCCCAGAGTCTAAAATATAGAATAATTATTCAATCTTAAAGTTTTCAAATAAAATAAACATAAGCTTGAAGAAATGAGTGTAGTACAACTTAGGAGCTAGAAAAATTTGCATCAGGCTTTGTAGGCACAGTTTTATGCTTGTCAAACATGAAAGTCAATCTAAGATTTGCAGAAGAAGGGAGGCATGAGCACCCCATGACCAGTGTCAGACTCTGTGTTCTGTCAGCAGACCACCAGCAAACACCTGTGTGTTGTTTTCAACATTCTTCATATGGCTCCTATGTAGAAACAGTAATGAAAAAATGAAACACACAAAACAATTCTAAGAGCATCAGCGGATTTGAAGGGAAAGGATCACAGAAGAGCACATGCTTTGGAAAGATTAAAACAATTACTATGCAGTGCTGATATGAAATTGATTGCCAGGAAAAAAAGACAGCAGCAAAAAGGAATATTGATCTTTCAACAGAAGAGACCATTAATTTTGTTAATACAGCATTTGTAGGCTGGTCTTTACCTTGTCTCACACATCTCCAGAATGGACACACTATTATTTGAACAATTCGTACGTGGGAGAGGCCAAGGTATGGACAGACCTGCTATCTCCACACTAGCAGGTATGACATGTTGTCTGAAAGTGATTGACACTCAGTAGACAGAAATGTCTCACCAGGAAGGCCTCTCTAGGCCGATCAGTTCTTCCACCCAACCTGAGCTTGGCAGGCTGGGGAAGAAAAAAGAGGTTCTTTAGTCAGCATTTTTCTACATTTGCTTTTCAGCAAACCAAGAAACAGACAATGACACAGGGATTTCTGGGATTAGTTATGGGCTTAACAGATACATCCTGTATAAATGAAGAACAGGAAGGTCCTGCAGGGCTGTGCAATAGGAATGAATACACCGTAACACAGGTAATGGATGCATCCTGACTGACTTAGGACCAAGCACTGGCAAGGACCAAGAAGGCCCAGAGAACTTGTAACTCAAACTTGTTAGCAAATTACTGAGCTAGAACCTTCTCCCTTGCCTCATAACATTATTCATATGTTTGAGTATAACCTCTTCATTATACTTCACATTTTTTGATTAGCTTCCAACTCCATTTTAATAGCAAAAGAGTTGGGGGGGGGAATATCTCTGAAGATAAAAAGCTGACACTGTTGACCTTCAATTTCTCGATATATACACATACTTATCTACAGGAAAGATAGATCCAAGCCATGTTGGTGACAGGTTTCCTAGCGCCAGCTGTTCCCAGCATGCCGGTGCGTCTCCTCTGCCGTCCCTGCACTCCCCCGACTCATGCAGGGGAGGGACCCCCGACTCACGCAGGGGAGGGACCCCCCCTTCCCGGCTTTGCATCACCCCACACGCCCCGGGAGGTGCCTCCGGGCTCTGTGCCGACCTTCACCGCCCCACCCGGCCCAGCCCCGCCGCAGGTCCCGCCACCACCTACTTCTTGCAGGGGATAAGCGCCTTCCTCTCCTCCAGGACGCGGAGGCGCTGGTTGGGGCCGTCGTAGGAGACAGCGGCCCGCGTATTGCGGCCTGAGCCATGCTCGTAGAACACGGTACGCCCTTCCCACTGCCGCGGCGCCTGGCACGGCTCGGCCGCTGCCGCTCCACCACGCAGCAGGAGGACGCCCAGAAGCAGGAGCAGCCGCAGCGGCGGCCCTGGCCCCAGGCGCAGCTGCCGCCCGGGCCGTGGCCGCGCCATGCTCCGCTCGGCGCCGCGCTCCCTCGGCGCACGGCCGCTCCGCACGACGCGCAGGCGGGCGGGCAGGCTGTCCCGGGGGGCGGGGGCAGCCCGCCTCCAAATCCGCATCATCTCGGCGGCGAGGTGCGGCTGCTGCCACAGCGTCCGGACGCCAGCGGGGTACGAGGCAGCGCGGGGACAGGCGACAGAGACACTCGCCCTCCCACTCCTCCCTCCCCGCAGCCAGGAGCGTCTCGGGCGCCCTGGCCGTGCCCACTGCTCCGAGAGGGCTGCCCAGAGGGGCAGCTCGAGCCCCAAGCCCTGGGCGTTCTTCGTGACCTCGGGGAGGGAGGGGGTACGCGAACAGGAGTGACCTGCTGGGACAAACTGCTTTAATGTTGATGTTGCCCTCATTTTAGTGCCTCCCCACGGACAGTATCACCAAGCATTCCTTCACCACTTGCATTCCTTCATGTCCCAGTGCCTTCTTAGCTGTATCAGCTAAGTTTCCTGCCTGGTCTGGATGTGCTTTCCTCACCCACTAGGGGAAGGGGAGACCCGTGCCCCACAGATGCTCCGTATCTGCAGCTCTGCTGCATCTGCAGAGGGCAACACCGGTGGCACCAGGGCAGGGCTGGGACAGGTACCCCTGAGCCACGCTGGGACTCTCTCAGGTCACTGGGATAACCTGGCATTGATTTAATCTTATCTCAGCGGGTCCTCAGAGACTGGGGAGTGGCATTTCCCACAGCGAAGAACCGGCCCAGAGGTGCAAGGGAGGAAGATGGCTGTGAGGGAGCCCTTTGTCCCCGCGTGGGCACACCACTCCGCTGCACCAGGGGCGCGTGGCCGTGGACCACCAAGGGAAGGAAAATAAAAAACAGCTTGGGAAAAGTCCGAAGCCTCTTCTTCCACTCGTGTGCAGGTGCGATTGGTGAGGGACAGAGGCTGGGGGAGCGGGGCGGCGGGCTGACTTGCCCGCACAGCAGCCTCACACCGGCCCCGTGCTGCCTCGGCCCCGCCGCCCGCTCTCGTCTCAGCTCGGCCGCCGCCGCTTCCCCTGTCCCGAGCAAACTGGGCCACGAGCCACCACCCCGTCTGTTCGCCAGTCCGCTTCACGCCTTTCCCCTCCGTGCCGAGCTCATGGAGGGAATTCTGCAAACCCCTGAAGGCGTCGGGAACAGCCGCCGGAGCTCGCTCAAGCCCGCAAAAAGTTTCTTCTCCCCTGAGAAAACGCGGCGCATAAAGTACAGCCCCACGGGAAAGAGGTCGCGGTTCCTACCGTCGCCTTCCCTCTCCTCGCGCCAGAGCGCAGAGCCCCGCAGCAGAACCATGTGGTTTGCGTTTCCTTCCCCCTCCCCTCGCCCCCTTCCACCTGAAGAAATTTATGACACAGATGAAAACTGAAACGGAGCTGGAGCGGTGGCCGAGACACTCAGTGATGTCACCGGGGGATTAAACAGGGTGGAGGTGATGTCACTGTGCCTGCAAAGCAAAACACACACATACACGCACGCCCCCCACCCCCCGGAGGAGTGGGGCTGCCAACAGAGCGCGATCGGCCCCACGTCAGTCGTGCCACTGGTATAAATGTGGTCCTGCAATGTCCATGGCTGTCGGCGTGGTGGCTCCCGCGACTTGACTGCAGCAGGGCTCTCGGAGGCAGCACCGCTCCGCGCCCTTCGGCCGCCAGGACCCGCGGTGCGGCTGCAGGAGGCGGAGGACAAGGAAAAGAAGGAGGAGGAAGAGGATGCTGCGTGCCTTGGTGGTGGTGTCCCTGTGGCTGCGGGTGAGCCCGCGGGCGCAGGGCGCGCCGTGCGAGGCGGTGCGCATCCCCATGTGCCGCTCCATGCCCTGGAATATCACCCGCATGCCCAACCACCTGCACCACAGCACCCAGGAAAACGCCGTCCTCGCTATCGAACAATACGAGGAGCTGGTGGCCACCGGCTGTAGCCCGGTCTTGCCCTTCTTCCTCTGCGCCATGTACGCCCCCATCTGCACTCTGGAGTTCCTCTACGACCCCATCAAGCCGTGCCGTTCCGTCTGCCAGCGCGCCCGCGACGGCTGCGAGCCCATCATGCGCCGCTACAACCACAGCTGGCCCGAGAGCCTGGCTTGCGACGACCTCCCCGTGTACGACCGCGGCGTCTGCATCTCCCCAGAGGCCATCGTCACCGACGTGCCGCAGGGTGAGAACCCTGGGGGCAGCGAGGACTCCCTCCATCCCCGCGGGACGCCCCAGGGTGGGATGGGGGGGCTGCGGGACTCCCATGCTCCAGTCCTGGAACCTCTACCGACAGTTTCACTCTCTGACGCCCCTCTGTTTGCAGATGTGAAGTGGACGGACTTCACACAGGGCTTTATGGTGCCGGACAGACCCCTGGAGCCTGACTGCAGGAGCCGCGGCCAGGGTGAGCCTAGGACGATACCCAGCCTCCACCTCCCCAGAGACTGGGTCCCTCTGACACCCCTCAACCTTTCTCCCTTTTTTTCCTTTGAAGAGCGGTGCAGGTGCAAAAAGACAAAGCCTACGCTGTCAACCTACTTGGCCAAGAACTACAGCTACAGTAAGTGCATGGGGGAAATGCTTCACTTTGCCTGTCCCACACCCTCCTTGGGTCCCTGCAAGTTATGCAGCTCTGTGAGGGTGCTGAACCTACACCAGGCCCATCCAGCAAGCGTGGCATCAGAAGACTGCTCCAACACAGCCTTTCCAAGTGGGTGTTTGCCTGGGGATACCTAGCTGTCCTCTTCCAAAATGGAAACTACTGGCAGTAATACTAGTTGCATAGGTCATGTTGTGTTTCTGACAAAAGCAGCAAAATGTCAGTAATGTGCACCCTTCTGCTCTGCAGAAAGGGTGGTTGCTGCTGCGAAGGTCACTCATCTGATGTGAGTGTTATGACTTGGCCAACTCCTGTTTTCATCCAGCATGTAGAATAAACAGGAGTTTGCTACCCAAATAAAACTTGTAAATGTGAGCCAGCTGCAGCAAAGTAAAACGTTTTTGGAAAGTTATATATGCTTTTACTTACTAGCCAGAGTTCTCTCTGGTGCAGAATGTTGGAGATTTACTGAATTCAGTGACAATTTGTCCCATCCAACCAAGGTCAATAGTTTTATTATATGTTGCATGACATGTTGGCAATAAAAGTAAGTATTTACTCCTCTTCCCCCTTGGCTTCTCTCTTCTCAGATTTATGATGGTGTCAGTCAGGAAGAACTCTAATTAAGATTAGGTAAATGCCACATTAAAACTAGTGTTAATTACAAAGCCTCTACTAACTATGAATTTAATATACATTACTGCTTCATTTTGCATTTTGCAAGCATTTTCTCAGATGGCAGGTTTTTTCCCAGTCATTTATCCAGTTCTTCTGCAGTAGGGTTATAATTCAATTCCTGTTTGTTTGATATCAAATTAAAATAAGTTTGTAGTTATTTGCTTCTTTGTTAGCGTGTTTGCTGGGAATAATCAAGCTGAACCTCTAGCTTAGGTAATTGTACAATTTTTTGTTCATTATAGCATTCTGGTGCATTTACACGACATACTCTTTTTATATAATTCCTTGATCTGCATCAGTACAACATAGAGATATGTTTAGGTAGAGTAATGATCTTCCACAGTTGCCTGAAACATATGAAAAGGTAGTGATATCAAATGACTGTTCAAAAATGAAAGACAGGTGTTAGCCGTGTAAATTCTGATTCCAGTGATTTCAGTGGTAGTGTTCCTTGAGTAAAGGCTGTATGTTGGAGTCCAAAATTTAATTCTATTGAATTTGTGAAATCAAGATTTTGTTTTTGAGACATAAATTTTTGTTCAGCACCCTCTGAGATAAATAGACCTATTGATATGGAAAATGAATTGACAGATGAGATTTAATGGATTGAAAATCAATCCATTTTTTTTTCTGCAAACCCTTAAAATAAGACATACAGCCAAACTGTACTTTTAGCTATCAGAACCAATCAAACTTTAAAATGGATTGGAGTCTCCAAAACTGAAATTCCTCACGTTTTTTGTCTGTTGTACATGTCCTGATAAAGGTAGCTCATAAACCCCAGACTGCCTTAAAAGTGCTGGTCTCCTGTTTTCTATGTGTGAAGTTTATTCCAAATGTTATGAGGTTCATGTGAAGGCTTTTGACCCGGTGGCTGGCAAGGGCAGGCTGATGGTCTGTGGTCTATATGCTTCTAATGCTTTTTTCACTGAAAAGTGTTTTGACAGTAGAAGCCTTTCTATTTTGACATTTCCTAGAGACAAAATCCTTTATGTAAAAATTATACTTAGCTTATTAGATCTGGTATTTCTCACAAGAGAGAAGAGATGAAATGCTGGAGTGGTAGGTCACGCCAGGGTTTGTAGGCACGAAGTTAGCCAGGGATCATTTCAGAGCAATCTGTAGCATTTCACATTCTTGCAGACATGCAGTTTTCCTCAATGAGAGGTAAAAATACAAATGATTGTGTATTCAGTCAAAAAAAACCTGTTTCAATGTCTCATTTATATGAGGATCTCACTATTGGTACAGAATCCAAATGCAAAAGATGAAAAAAAGTATAGGTCAAGTAAATCATGGCAATCCTAAGCCTCTTAAGTTTTTTTACTATTGTTTCTAGCCTTCCCTTGTTTCTTATATTTAAGGAAAAACTATTTCCTGGTTGCAATCTACAGGAAGTTATTTTATTATTCAAAAGACTGAATTCATGATAATTGTCTGTGAGGTAAATTATTCATTATTTAATTGGAAAAAGACAGATGTGGCTGGAGAGTGGGTTAGATTTATGCAAAGGGTTGTTCAAGTCTGAGTTGAAGGAGCTGTTTGTGTGTGTGATTCCAGCCAAGATTGGTTAACCTGATCTGGCAAAGATTTAAGCACATGTTTAATTTCACAGTTGTCAACAGTCCTACTGAAAACCAAATCAAGATCAGGCCTGTTATTCTAAGCCACTGTTCATGTCCAGGCAGAAGCAGTTCTAGTTTCACAACCAAAACAACAACTTCCAATTGAAGACATTTTAATTCTGACGTGTGTTTAAATTTCTAAGACTGCTCATTGTTCTCACTCCTGTATTTTTCTATTTGCAGTCATTCACGCTAAAGTAAAAAGCATAGAAAGAGGGAACTGCAATGAGATAACGACTGTTGTTGAAGTCAAAGACATACTCAAGTCTTCAACACCAATTCCTCTGTCCCAAGTGCCCCTTCTTACAAATTCCTCCTGCCACTGCCCACCTCTTCAACCAAAGCAGGATGTTCTCATCATGTGCTATGAGTGGCACTCAAGGTGAGCTGTGATGACGTGGTGCAAAACAGTATTAAAGCTGGCTGTGATAGATGGGAAGGAGGACCAGAAAAGCTCTCTCCCTCATCATAGGCTCTTTTTGCTGATAGTTTTTCTTAGTATAATTCATACACACACATACATGTTTCCATTACTTTCACAGCTGATTTTTTCCACTTCATCAGCCTCAGCTCTGCACCATGATGTGGTGTTTGCAAAATATGGCTCACGCAAAGAGTGTAAAATCTGTTGACATTAGGTGCTGACAGCATATTGATAAGGCATCATTCAGCAGTTCAGTCACCTCCAGCTTGGGAGTGTTTTTCCAGGACCACTTTCCACAGGGATGAGCTGCTTTGTGTGCAACAAGCCAAATGGTGGCTGTGTTGGCAGGACCACATGGAAGGCACCGTTCTGTCTCACCAAGGGAGGGGGCAGGAGATGATACACATCTTCTGTCAGCAGAGCTGCTGGAGTCAGAGCCAGGCCTTCTCCGCTGTCCTGTCCATACTTTGGACTAATGCCATCAATGAGATGTTTCTGATCCCACAGCCATACTGGGACCAGCCAAAGCTGCAGCCACTGGAGATCCATCTCCCAGATTGCAGCTTGCCAATCCTGCTATATGATTAAAAGAAAAAACAAAACAAAACTAACTTTACCAGACCTTTCATCTGGCAGTCAGCCTAGCCCCAGACATGGAAGGAAATCCAGAGTGCTGGTCTGGAGGGAAAGGAGTGATGAATCACAGCTTCCTTTTCTCCCGGTTTCTTGAGACAGAAGGGGACATCCTATTCCCCATTAGCACCCCAAGTGCACCAGTAGATGCCAGCAGAGCAGGTTGTGGTGTTTTAGGTTCTGTGTTGGTGTGTGTGTTGTGGTTTGGAGACAAGGCTGTTTGTAAAATGTGCAAGCTGGTTTTACATATTGTGAGGTTGCTATTAATTGGTCACACACGCTTGTAAGGACCACACAACATCCATGTGTGGGATATGATGGGCCATATCCATATTTTTAATGAGTTTTATGTTGATTTTTTGGCAGCATTTTATAAGTGTTTCTAAAATTTGTCATCTGATATTGTATTGTTTTAACTTGTTTTTTGGTGAGCTAGCAAACACAGTATTTTATTACTACCCAGCTCTTTGCTCCTCCAGGTCTGGAAGTATTTCACAAATATTAATGTAGATCACTCAGTTTGTGTTCACCATTTTAGGGATACAAGCTCTGATTCATGTAGAAGGACTATGACCAGAACAGCGATGGAGGAGCTCTGGGTTGCAGAGGATCCTCTGGAGGCTGATAGGAAAGAGAGAGTTCATAAGTCAAAAATCACAATCAGCATCTCCATTATTATGGAAAAGCGCGTGATTCCCTAAATATCTTGTGATGGTTTTTAAAGGTCATTGAGGTTTTTAATTTCTTATAGTATAATAAAATGGATTTGCAAAAGAAACATAAACTATTTTATGTGCTTCCTGTTGAGCTCAGTAGCAGGTAGACAGAAGGCTTTGAGTTACAGCAGTTTTTTAAAATGACAGAGGCAGAATGAGTAGAAACTGTACCTCCTCTACAGTCAATGGCAAAATACCTATTGCCTTTTGTTGGGGTTAGAGCATCACTGGATAATTCGACCTGAACCAAAGCTGTGCTAGATATATCCCATGTTTTGGTTTCATTCATGGCAGTGTGGCCTTGGTGTCAATCCTGTACATTAATCCTCTGATTTCTCTTTGGAAAGAAAGGGAAATGTACAACATATTGGTCCTGATTCTCCAGGGTTTGCACTCACGTTAGGGCTTTTATGTTTGGTCAAACCAGATGCACAGTGGCTAGTGACTATGAGAGGCTGCATTTTGTACTGTGTTTGGGCTGCTAAGAGCAACAGCACTGTTCATGGAAAATGGAGGTCAGGCCCTACTACACTGTTTAACCTTCACCAGCCAGAACACCAGCTGTGTGATATTGTATGCATTTCTAATGATGTCTTGATGTTTCCAGACAACACTGGTGTCTAAGTAAAAACCCCCAGAATTTTAGTGAAATTTATATTAGAGCATGTTAAGGCCTGATATCTCAACCAACCAACCAAAAAACTCCAAAAAGTTGTCTCTAGGTTGGGAATGTGTGGCATCAGGCTGCTTTAGAATAAGCTGCTTTAGGAGCTGTTTAAGACATATATATATATATATATATATATATTTAATAGTCACTTTCTTTTTGTTGTTCATTTCATAGCATCTAGACTCAATGTTTTCATGCAGGAGCTAGCCAGATTTCACTGGTAGGCAAGTATGGCAATTATCACTAATTATCCATCTTCCAAATTCACCTTAAAGTATTCATTGAGAAGTTAGGTGTAGGAAACAAATACTGCCATCCTCATGTATTTATAGGTAGAAATGGATACAATTGTAAGTGATCATATAATTATAATGCTATATTTCAGCTAAGCTCTATTAGCTGGTGTATGTGAAACAGCTTCTTTTTTAAAGTCAGAAGTAAAATGCATCAGTTTAATCTACTCTTCACATAAACATATAGAGAAACATATGGTATCCCATCATCCCATACATAAAACCTGTCAGTACCAGTACCTGTGGGTGCATTTCAACCCCAATCCGTGTTAAATCATCTGGAACGGCATCTCAGGAATTAAAATCAGAAATATCTATAACTTGTGTGTATTTCTTAATTTTCAGGTTGATGCTTCTTGATGGCTGTCTAGTTGAGAAATGGAAGGATCAACTAAACAGAAGATTTAAGGTAAATGCAAACAAAGAAAAGAATGCTAATGTTCTTGATAAAGCGTTAAACACCTTTGTTTTACTTCAGTACTGATTAACTTTGATGACTTTCAGATATATGTAACTCCTCTGGATATAATTATTTTCATCATTTTCAGCCCTCATAGTTACCCAATTATAAGTGAAAATTTGAATACTTTAGTCTTGTGGATTAGGATCTCTAAATTTTTATTTGTATTTAATTTTGCCCTCTGGGATGATCTTCATGTGGACTCTGGTTTCTTACAATAATGTCTCTAGGAATTTCTTTCATATCCCTGCTACCACAAGAAGCGATGATACGAAAGTGAAGGTGATATGCAGATGATTATGTAGTCCACATTAGATAAGAAAGGAAGTTAAAATCCTCTGCACTGGATTAATGTTTTTTGCTACATTAAATTTTGCAGGCTGGGCACATACACTTCTCATCAGGTACTCCCTACTAAGACCCACCCAAAGGATTGGGCATTTTCTCTCTGGATTCAGGAAACACTGGAAGGAAAAGTCCAATATAGGGACATGGGTGACAGGCACAGCAGATGCCCCTGCTTTTTGAGGCTTCAGGATAGCACTTGATATCACTCTCTACTTTTGAATTCCTCTTTTTAATGGAAAGAAAGGATGGATTGAGAGAAGGTCTGATTCTTCCTCCCACTTTTAGAGATGGAAGAAAGTTATTTTTGGAATTCAGAAAGGTTTTCAGAGCATTAAGGACATAGATGTATAAGGACATACATGTTTGTTTTAATTATGAGTTGATTGGCAATTGATAGGAGGAAAAGAGATGTAGGAATCCATAAGCAGAAGCTTAAGATTACAGACCAACTTCTTGCAGGAAATTACATTCAATCTTCTCTCATACCCTCTTCACTTACTCATGTGAAACCTATGTGTGGAAAGGAAAACATGCTTTAAATCTTTAAAAAATAAATACATGGCAATTGCCGAAGATGGCATGTGGGATTTAGAAAAATATTGGCATATGACTTGGGTTCCTGAAATCCTTTAGCTGTCAACTTAATGGCCTGTTACTGGTGCACAGTGTGTTTGTCACCCCCCTCACACTGTTTATCATTTCTAATTGTGTCTTGAATCATGTTTGGGCATTAATTTTCAAATTGTCAAATAGATGCAGGACTGCCAAGCAAAATACCCTTCAAAGCACATGTCATTTCCTCTCATATTAATAGTTTCAGAAACTAAATCCTCATTAAAACATGCTTGAGCGGGACACAACCAAATATCTGCTGATAATTTTGGTTTTATAAAGATGGATAAAATTACTCTGACCACACAAAGCTAGTATAGAGCTAGGTATCACAGTGACTTCATTTTAATACCTATCATTCATCTCTGAGGCCTTGCATCCAGATTTGTTAAAATCGATGTTTTGAGCTGTCTGTCAACCACAGAAGACAGTTCTTAACGTAACCACAACATGGCTGGTCTTTTCTCCAGCCAGGGCAAGTGTCTCAGTTGCAACCAAGTCAGTGCAGAGGTACTGAATAGGGAAGCTGGAGACCATTTCTTTTGCTCTGATCACTGGGTAAATCCCCTGACTTTAGGAGTTTCAGAAGGGAAAGATAATAGAGGGGAGAGGTGAGACCCTTTCTGGGTTCTAATAGCTACGTTGTTTTCCTTAAAATATGTATTTCTGTTCCTAGAGGTGAAAATCTGCAGTCTCTGTTGCTGTTTTATGGATCCCTCCACGTTTTGGAGAGCTGACCAGTTAAACTTAGTGTAAAAACCTATTTTGTAACTACTGCACTATTGGGTCTAAAAATCTGACAACTGTTATCTTTGGTAGGCTCGTTGCTTTTCAAAATTTCTTGGGGATGCTGCTGAATAAAGCTGCAGGTACATTATTCAAACCATGTCATTGCAACTCTCAGCATGTGATTTCACTGTGATCATCGCTATTGTCTGTCCATAACATAAGCTGGTTCATGCCTAGTCCTCTCCAACCCAGGGAAAAGCAGAAGCAGAAAGTAAATACCAGCTCCCCTTGTAGCTGTGTGCTTAAATACATATTGTGAAAGGATAGTTTGATTCCTGTAGACTTTTCTGAGGAAAAGTAAACTAGCACGTTCAGCAAGACAGCAAGGGAGGGCCTTGCAAAGGAGTTCCAATATTCTGGTCCTGACCTTTTGATGGCATGGTACCAGCTCTCCTCTGTTTCTGAAAGGGCACTCGCAGCTTGAACATGAGATGGGCAATTGTCATTTCCATCCACTGTTGTTGTGGAAATTCCTTCTAACCTAGCACATGTGTAAGGTTCTCCCTGCAAATAGCCATAACATGCTGACATCAATGGCCTTGCAATACAGAGCATTAAACTGTTAAAGGCAGCACTAGCATCAGTGCTTCAGGATAGCTTTCATTAAGATGTAATTATTTTTGATATGTCCTTCCCTAACTCATTCTCTTTGTCTTCTGCATTTCTACAGAGGTGGGAACAGCGACTGCAAGAGCAAAAAAGGCGAACTGCACGCAGTAAGAACCAGAACTCAGGACGCAGTGGTCAGAGTGGAGCCCTGAAACCGCAAACCAAGAACACCAACCCACTGATCAGTGGCCCCAAAAAGGCCATTAAAATAAGAAATGGCCAGAAAGAAATCAACCCCAAAAAAGTATGAGTGTGAAATTCCCAAAAGGAAGGACTTTCCCTGCACGACAAGGATTGCAATCTGGCTTGGTCAGCATGTTTTATTAATCTGGAGCTCATCGACTTAAAAATCATGTCAGTTTCTACATAGACGTTTTTGCTGCACTTTATTGTTACAAGGTTTGCTTATCCTTTCAAGTCACTGCAAGCCATAGAGCATAGGTTTGCACTAATATGAGGTAGGCATATTCCAGCTGACTGAGCTTTATCTTTGGGCTCTGATTTCCCACCTAGATAGAACTAGAACTAGATAGAACCTTGGCTGCCAGAAGTTTTGACTCCTTGTATCAGCTGCCTGGTCTGCTTCCCTGCCACATGTTGGAGAGCGACATGGAGTTTCTCTCCTCAGCTGGTGCAGTAGTTGGTGAATTAGCCTGTGAATTAGCTGAGAGCTCACTAGACTCGGCAGCTGAAGAGCAGCAGAAGGATGATAACTACTGGCAGATATTTCAGCTGCATCTGCTGGAGTTGATCCTATCTACTATTTGGAAGCACAGCCCTTGTTCAGAGTGTTCAAAAGCATAGTTTACCATTAAGCATCTGGGCATGCATTATGTGATTATTTTAATGTGTGTGCCAAAAATATGCTTGCAGTGATAGTATTTGATCTTGTGGGTTCGTGTAGTAAGAATGCATTCAAAGCAGATATTCAATTTTTTTATTGTACTTCAGGCTGGCTTCTGTTGTTCTAATTTCAAATATATTTAAACATCTAATTGAAAAAATTTTTTTGAAAGGACAGATTAAAGTTAACTGATCTGTAGGATTCTTTAACACAATTGCTGTATTATAGCTTTGCTATAAAAACTGGAATAGAAGCTTTATTCTAAATATAACTGACAGCTTCTGTACAGTATTAAGAAGATAGGGCTTCAAGTGGCTCAGTGATCATTTGGATAACTTTTTATAATTTGATACCATATTTCTAACCTTTCTCTGAGATTAAATAAATAAATAAATAAATCAGCCTTTTCCCTATTAATGAGCTTCTCAAAACAAGTGGCTATCTGCAGTTTTTCTTATCAGAAAGTAATGCTTACCCTGAAAAGGGTGACAGGAAAGCAGATGTTTTTATTTACACAGTAAGTTTACTGACTTAACATTTTCTGTGTGAGATATTAGAGCAGAAAAGATGATACAAATCTAATCAACATAAATCCAAGATGGCATTTATACTATTCCTTCCAAGGTGTACTTGGATGAGGCAGTATAGATAACACATGCAGATTTCAATTTCATGTAACACACAAGATCACTCACATTAAGATCAGAAGAGTTAATGATAGATGCCTGAAAGACCTTCAAGATTTCCTGCAGGAAGACTAAGAACTAGACTGGTCAATTCTGATAAAATGAGGATTTTTATGGTAGAGAAATTCTATGCCAGAAAAAAAAAAAAAAGGAGTTCTGTGTAGATTATCATAAGGAGTAACAATTGGTCATGCCATTATTTTGATCTTTGCATGACAAGAATTCCAATGAAATTTGCATGAGTGAAATTCACAATAGATTATGCTGAAGTGATTTTTGTAGCAGCAATTTTATACTTGGTAACTTGCTCAAGCAAATTTGAGACATAGATGCCAAGTTACTATGTTTAAAACAAAGGGGCAGATGTGTTACAAGAAAATGGAATCTTGTAGTTCATTATAGAATTAGGTGGTACAAAGATTTGATTATAGTTCTTCCAATACTAACACAAAATAACATAATTATTCTTCTGATTTTTGTCCCAGCAGGAGAGAAATAGAATCACAAGACATGTTTATTTGTACCAAGGACCATATATTTCCTTGTTTAGGAACTTTAATGAAATCAAAACCTGACACTAAAGACTATATTAAAGATCTGTTTCAGTTTAGAATGATAAACAAGAGGGTTATAAATCTTAAAATATTGTTTTAGAGGAATAAGTATGTCTGATTGTACTGCATTTTTGTACTGAATTACTACATAAAAAAATAAGGCAAGTGGAGAAAAAGCTTTTTTTCCCTGCCGAGAAGATGGAGTCAATCAGCTTGCAGCTCTGTACCGCTGCACTGTTTTTCCTTTACTCTGACTACTGAATGAACTACACTGTCAAGTCAGACGTTGCAAATATCTGTTCAGTTTATCCACAGTTCCCTGTGAGCAAATGATCAGCTTTCTGGTTACCTTGCTCAGAGAATACATACTGAAGTTCTCTAAGTATCTACAAACTAAAATTTTTATCCCACTGTAACCACAAGGAATCAAAATACTTAAAGTGTTCTGTTTGGGGCATCTCTTGATTACTCTGATAAAACCATCAACCTTCTATCTGGATGTGGACTGTCTGATATATATAGGGTACTTTTGGGGCTTGATCTTAATATCCCCATCTAGAGAAAAGGAGGATTGCCCTCCCTTGCTTTATGCTCATTTCCATAGTGGTTTATCCACAAGCCTTTTGGCAGCAGCAGGAACAAATCTAATATTAATACATTACCTGCAAGCCCTCAAATTTACTGCATATCCAACAAGCAAGTTTGAAATGCTGTTTTACATTCCAGTAAGGCTATGGTTTAATTTCACAGATGCTACATGAAATATAGTGTTAGCAGTTGAAATTCACTGCACTTTTTTCAGAAAGTCTTGGCTAGCTCTAATCAGAAGTAATGCACTTCTATAGAAATTAATGACTTGCAAGTTCCTGGGGGGTGGGGATATTTATAAATTGAAACATAATTTTGAATGTTTGTTGACCCATATTGATGAATTATATTTACAAAATTAATTGTAGCTGATGTAGTTTAGCAGAAAAATCTGGTTGAGGAAATGTTTTCAGATGTTCATTTACATTCAACTAACTGCTAGGTACAACTAAAAAGCATGTGTTGGTTGTGCATAATTGGAATAAATATTTTTTCAGGTTTCATTCATTTGGAATGTAGGTTACAATTCTGGATAAAAGAATTTAAGAGCTGTTTGAGTATTTTGGACAGGAAAATCTTCTTTTTATTTGCTTAGGAAGTATTTCTCTGTCATATGCACTGACTGGACGAAAGTTGCAACACAGAATTGAAGTGATCGGGTCATTTGGGTCTTGTTGGAGAGGGGTTTATGTTTTTTTTTTTAATGTTTCATAAAACAATTCTGAATTGCTTTTGTAGTGGGCATCTAAAATGGTGCCAATCATTCACAATTAGAGTAAATATTTTTTCAGGTTTCATTCTTTTGGAACTGAGGTTAGAACATTCAGTGAAAATACTGAATGGCATTTCTAACTAAACTGAGCACATGTGTATGGGATGCAG